TTTGATCAAAATCCATTCCATCTCTAAAAGTGTATGTTTTTTTAAGAGCTAAAAGATATTCTGATGAATTTTGATGGATTGTAAAGTTTCATATTCATATAAATTTTCATATTTCCACTTTTTTGTTCCCAGCAACTTAGATAAATAATTTCACTTCTGAAATACGTTGGGTGAAGTGACTATGCTTCGTGTATACACTGGGTCACAGCTTTTCAGGTGAGGCTGAGGCATTTAATCCAAAATGGCTAAAGCACCAGCCGAAGACAAATCTCTCCTAAAAATTTTAGCAAGTTACATTATTCAAAACTATTCAGCAAGCATTCCAGCAGCAACATGATGGATGCACAGGCCAGTATGGGTACACAGCTAATCAATATCAAACCCATGAATAGTCAGTATGTAGTGTGGAGCCTGATGGGGAAGAGACAGGAGCTTGTGCTTAATATTCAGCACCAGGAGCAGGCCCCAGACTTCCAGCCAGACCACACGCTGCAAATCCCAGCTACACACACACATCTTTGTAGGAGGATGCAGGGCACCTGTTTATGCCACCCATGGCAAACAGTTAAGGAATTACCAAAGCCTTTGGATAGCTGTGCTTCAGTGAACTTTCAGAAAAGGCTACTATTTACTGCAGTCCTGATTTAATGACAACCACATAAAACCATTTGTTTTTCAAGAGGCTATGGCACAACACCAGCACACAACACACACACATTAATGTGCATTACTTGAATGAATTCCCCACTGCTTGTATCACTGAATATAAGGTCTTCCTCATACATTTGACTAATCAATACTTGGAATCAAATACACTGTGTTTCATGAGGGAAAAGGAAAATGAATGAGGTTAAATTAATGCTGTCACTTTCTATAAACCTGCAATGATTTCCCACTATAGAAACCACTGACTTCATTATTTTACAGCTGGAAATCAAAGATGCAGCATATTTTAAAAGCCTAATTTACTCAGATTAATAAAAAGGCACCCTCAAGACTCATCATTTATGTCATATTATGCTTTGTTTTAAGCATTCCAGCTTAAGAACAGTGTGCAAAACTCTCTGCAAATCACATTGATTAATACTTTGAATTTGTATGCAGCAGCGCACTGCACTCACAAAGTACTATATAAATATTATTTTATTAAATTTCAAAGCAATTGTGTTAGGTGGGACAATAAAATGTCCCTGTCTGACATCCTTTATCTCAACAATACAGCCTTTAAAACAGAAGCAAAAGTAGTAAACTCATAAATTTACTTACGGAGAGAAAGTTGGAAATTAGGGAATTCCAGACTTCTAAAGCTGTGTTAAGACCAGCAAAGCACAGACATCTATGTCCAAAGTAAAAGCATCTGCCAGAGGTTTGCAGATGTCCCTTATCTTCTGTTGCATGGTTAGAGAAAAAGCTAGGGATATTTTTCAATTCTCTAGTACTCAAAAGCATTTACAGCACCTTTTTGGAGGAACCTCATTTCATGAGGATGCTGCTGGAGGGCAACCAGCTCATTAGGGAAAAGCTGAGAGGACAGAACAAGGACACCAGTAAAAAATCAGTTGCAGTAATAAATAAATAAATAAATAAAAACCACCACAAATAACAACAGAGGTAACAGATTTTTGTCTCTTTCTCCTTTCTATTTTAATTAACACAGCAGACCACTTTCTGGAATGTCTCCTTTCCTACCAACTGGCTTGTAGCTCCTCTTGAAAGCTTCTTAAAAGTGAATTCTCTCAGAAATCTTTCCAATATAATCTTATTTTCTATTCATAAATGGTCACTAAAACAATGGTAGATCAGTACAATACAATTATTTGTTAAATTAGTATTGTAGAGCACCTAATGGCATTTAAGAGAATTTCTCAATTTGCCATTAATCAGCTCATCAAGAGTGTTTATTAACTGGGGCAGTACCCTTCAGAATCGTTATGTCTAAATAATACAGCTTGGTGTATACAGCCTCCTCACCAAAAAGGCGTAATTTTTGATATTCATGGTAGAAATGTGATGTTAGCCCTTGCACTCATGTAATTTGTCATTAGAAATTTTCATGGCTTTTTCAAGAATAGTTATTTCTAGCTCTTCCTTAGTTATCCCTCTGCAACAACTGAAGAAAGAACTGAATAATTTTCCAATTATACCTCTTCATATTCAATCTATTTGTTAAGATACAGAACAGAGCTTCTCTTGGAACATTTCTCCCCATAGTAATTCCCCACAGAATTGTTTATCAAGAGCCAAATGGGGCATAAGTGAATATGGGGGATATAGGCTCTAGGACTGATGGCTTCAACCAAATAAATGATGTAATCAGCATCAACACATAGAACATCAACAGAATTTTTACTGTACTACAAATAGTCACAGTACTATATATGAGTTTATAAAAGTGTAAAGCTCTGCATTAAATTAACTGTATGTCTTCAACATGATCACCTGATCAATTTTGTATTCTGGTGCCTGAAGAAAAAAATTGCATCAAAAATATTTGTTAATATAATTTAATTGAAGAAATTTAGAAGAGTTCTATTTAGGTATGAACAGAGATGCCTCTTGGAAAAAAAAAAATCGAAAACAAGCAAGCCCAGAAGTGAAAACAGAGAATGGATTGATTTGGAATTACTGAAAAGAATTTTTGGTGAAAAGTCTTAAATCCTGGAAGTTGGCCACAACTTAAACTTACCAGAGGAATCAGAAATGTTGTTGTTGAAAGTGTTTAGATGTCAGTATCTAGTTCAAGGCTTTTATGCAGTTCAATGGTATTTAAATGCTAAATCAATAAAAGTCAAGCATACTACCTCAATATCTTAATGCAAACTAAGATGATGACTCACAACCATATTAACCATTCTATGCCAGATCCTCATGCAATATAAAGACATCAGCTTTATTTGGTGAAATTGAGTCAACTCCATACTGTGACTGTATCCTTCCAAATCTTTCTTCCACGTGGATGACTTAAACAAACAGTGACAGCTAGGAAAAGCCTACATTTTTTTGCAGCTAGATTCACCACCAAACAAATAAAACCAAAGAGCAAATATTACTAAAATAAACACATTTGTGTTTAAAGACAATGTGCATACTTGCACTGTGCGTCTCTACATTATTACTCAGAATAGAACTGGTCACCATTCTTCAGAGGACAATGTAGATATCTGTTTTAAAAGCATCTCATTTGCTCTGGATAATGAGCCAAGAGTGGGAAGATTATGTGTCATATCACATCTCCATCTTAATTACTTCTCTATCAAGTATGTCATTCAGACTTTATTATTTTAGCTGTTCTAGAAGCTGCTACAAAATCTTTGTAATCACATACATGTCCTAGGGTGACTTTATGATGCTTATATCCCCAATCATCTGTCCTATTTATGCTGGATATTAAGTTCTACACCTTTTTTTTCCACTTCTCTCCAAAGAAATCTTCCCAAACCAGCTGGGGGAGGGGCCACTTGCATCTGCTTTCTAGAGGAATCCCTTCAAAAGCTTCCTCCCAAATCTGTCCTAAACCAGGATGCTGGACATAACATTTTTTCGCTGTTAATTCAGTAATTTGCAAAAAAAAAGAAGGAAAACAAAGGTCAGGCCAAGTGCAACACATTAGAGAAGTTTATTTATGGAAAGCAGTTCTGCCAGTTAATGCATTTCTAACCAGTCCAGGGAATAAATAAGTCTGAACCCCCATATGATTTCTTATAAAATGCAGTGTTTGTTTTTGAAGCTTTTTGAAACCACATTTCTTTATCCATCATTTAACTTTCTGTTAACTGTTAATAGCACTATTCAAAATGGGTTTGAAAGGGCCTTTTCTCTGCAGTTCATTTACTGCATCCCAGCTTCCAATAATTTAGAAAATTATAATCATGCACATATTTCTGCTGCAACCCTCCATACTCTCTACCGAAGAAAACAGATGTTCTATCCTAAAAGTAGATATGCAAACAGGTTTAAAAAGCACAATACAATGGTTACACAGAATTATCAGAGATAATTCAGGTATGTTCACAGAATAATCATACATAGAAAATATCAAACAGGAGCACAGTTCAAGAAGTTTCTCTGTAACCATTGCTAAATTTGAATCTATGAAGGGATCAGAACTGAAGATGATCCACACTAGCCAGCACATGTCTCCAAAACCCCATTTCCATATGAGTTTACAAGGATGTGCACTATGTGCACCTACGTGGGTGAATGGAGAAACAGATCAGGGAACAGAAACAGAGCAGGTAAAAGAGAAGGTGAGAATTACTCTGCTTAAATGCACAGCACTGTCAGAATAGAGCATCACAGCAGAGAACAAACTCAGAACTCTACCTGGGATCAAGCACAAGTCCCACATAGGTCTGAAGACTCTCCAAACCCTGCTGAGTTAGCAGGACTTCAATTCACAGACCCCTGCTGTCCCACATCCCAGCCAGAGAGACTGCAGCATTCCTCATCGCAGGACCCACAACTTACCTTGCATAATCCTATTATAAAATGGCCATAAACACAATACATAGCAATAGTTTACTGCTATTAATCCAAGTGGTGCAATAAGACTTCAACCAACCATGACAGAAACCATCAAGTTACACTCCTGTTTCAAACCAAACCTTCTTTATTTGAAGAATATTATTCTGCCACACACAAAATGTGATCACAATTATTCCACCAATGCTCTTTTGTTAAGTGCCTGGGGTAGGCAGCAGTCATTTTAAGTATTTAGAAGAACAGATGGGTCTGCCCTTGGTACTGAAATTCTGTAGCTGTAAAAATCACTTCCATTTCATAACCATTTCATATGAAGTCCAAGTGCTGTGTAAACAGCATTTTTCTGATTAATTACAAACACATCCAGAAATAACTATAAAAAAGGAATACCATACCACTCTCCTCCTTCCAAGAAAATTACTTCTTTTTATTTCCAAGTAATTGCACTGAACATGTTTGCTTTATATTTCTAGAACAACAATACATCACTGAAGACAGACAGCATTTATCTGACTTACCAGAACGATGGTGATGTTGCTCTTCCAGGAACTCCAAGTCAAGCATTAGGTCATCTTCATCCAACTCACAGGAGCCCAAGTTATTCAAAACATCCTAGTACAGATTAAAAAAGGAAAAGAAGCATTAGAAGCATTTAGACAGATGTTTTAGACAAATTGCTCACCACAAAATGATTTCTAATCACATTTGGAAAATATGTTTAAGGAGGAGCTACAGAAAAGTTTTCTGCTAACTTCAGACCAGTGAGAAACAGTATGAAACAACTGCCTAACCTGAAATGTTGCCACTGTTTTTAGAGGGTATCAAATATGTAACAACAAACCCCAGAAGTGCAACTAATACCACCTACCTTTTTTTTTTTTCACTTTTCAGTGATGGTTTTGTGCCTTTGTAAGTTTAACCAGAATTTTTTATGAAGAATAAAAATGTTATTTTTAGCACAACAGTATCAGTGAGTGTTTTTTATTAAATTTTGGAATTCTAAACACTGCCTTCCCTTCCCAATATATTTTGAAGAGAGATTGACTGTTCTATTGAGCCAAAGGATAAAGATACACAAATTTCGCATGAAGAGGAAATACAGGCATGAATTATCAACTTGTGAATTTTTAAGTATTCATGTGAGTGGCAAAGGCTTACATAGACTGAGAATTCTGACTCTTAAATGTAGCTGCTTATGACCCCATTACCTTTGTTTGCCAAGTCTTAACCACAGACAGAAAAGGCAGGTTTACAGACAGGGATAGTAATAATTCTCCATCTTCTTCCCATGTGTATTTTATTCTATGGTCATTTATTTTGACCTGGTAATAATACATTGATTTTCTCCACAGTTACTAACACATAATCCAAGCTAATTTAATTCCTTGTCCAGCTGGCATTTTGTTTGCTGCTCAACAAGTAGGGCTCAATTCTTCAGTCCCTCCACAGGCAAGTAACTTATTAGAGGCTGCATGGGATGGATGCTGGCACCCACCACTGCACATGCTCCCAACACTAATGCAACGTAACAAATCACAGTAAAAAAAGCCAGGTTATTGTCCCAAAGCATTCAACTGTCTGGGAGATCTCTGCATGGCAATCTGCTCTATAGAAAGTAGGGAAATACCACAGTAGTGTACATTAAACTAGTAAAAGCCCTTCTTGACTTCAGTTCCAACCTTATTTTTTTAGGTTCCTTCTAATTCTTTAAAGTTTTTTCCCACCACAATAGATGTCACCTCTCATTCCTACTCACCACTTGTACCTATTCAACCCTTTGGAATAATTATTTCTTCAAACCCTGTTTTCTGCTCTTTCACACAAGCAAAGGATTAGGCAACACAAGGACTTTTTCTTGCATTCTTTCCCTGACTTACCATCAGCACAAGAAACCCTTCATGACATACAGAACCCATTGCTCAGGCTATTACAATATTTTTTGCTCCCTTTTAAATTTAGATGCTATTATGCAGGCAAGCTTAATCAAATGGTAAACTCAAAGAATGTAAAACATACTTTGTTTATATATTGTTTTTACAATGTAACAAAAAAAAAAAAAGGTGAAAATATCCAGAACAATCACTGCAATTTTTGAGCAATAGCTGGAAGTTCTTCATGCCAGTAGAGGCAAAAGGTAAAAATGTTGGAGTACACAGGTTTGTTCTTGACCTTAAAATTTTTGTCTATACTAGAGCTGACCAACTGAATCCACATCAATATCAATGCTGAGCATCCTTTGATAAGCTAAATTAGCAAGGAGCAATGAATTCATGCTGAGCATCTCCTACATCTTGTGCAGAAATTTATGTGTGGTCTGAAATCCTGGGAGATTGCCTGCAAAAACATAGTGACTCACAGCCTTCATCAAGAAACAAATTCCATTTGATTTGGAATTAACAAACACAAATAGAACTTTCTGAACTGAAGAGCTGAAGAACTGTGTAAGAGGGACCAAAAGAAAAAGTCTGTATTCAACTCTTCTCCTGCTTATTACTGCTTTTTGGGAAGATGTTCACTACCTGAGTAACCCTCCAAGTGGAGGCAAACCATGGTCTGTCTATCCTCTCTGTGCTGCAAGGCTGATGTACATCTTGCTCCATACAGCAACATCTCTTCTTGTCCATCTGAGCTCAGGGCTCTCCCAGCTGCTGATCCCCTTGCCTTCCCTTTCCTACAGCCCCTTCAACTGCACCAACAACAGCAGGCAACCTAAAATGACAGAGAAAAGCCACTCCGTTTTTATTCTTTCCTAAGTACCCCCTCCAGGGAAATAGTCTCCCTCTGCTCCCAATAATTGACTTTTTCTTTATAAAGGGACAAATCATAGGACTGGGACCAAACAAATCAGAGCAGCTACTGTCCATCATGGCAAGAACAAGGGCTTGACAGGGTTGCTCCACCTCCAAGGATGTTAATGATGGCAGTGTCCAGCTGATTCTCTGCTCTGCCAGCTCACCTGTGGGCAGTGTTCTTCCATGGATGCAAAACACAAATGAACTCATGAATGCATAAAAGCCCACCCAAGCAGAGAGCATTAGCTAGATTCCCAGGGCTGTTCTAAGTAAGTAATATTTTCTGAAAACATATAATTAGAAAATAAGAGAGCCGAGCTCCCCGACTGACCTGCCTAATGTCACAGCACAGCTCAGAGATACTGCTGCGAGTACACACCAACGTCCTCCACCCCTCTGCCTCCTCACCAGGATTCATTACTCCTCTGTTGCTATGACAATTAGCGAAAAATTTAATTTCCTTTAAAGTTTAATATCTCTTGACCCTTTGCCCGTTCTTCCCCTCACCACTGCCACGGCAGTCTTTGAAGAATAACACAATTAAATATTAAAAAAATAAAATAAGAGAGAGATCGAGCCCTAAAGAGCATTCCAAGTGAATAATTTCAAGGCTTTTCTACATAAAGAAAAAAGAAATTAAATCTTCCATCAAGGTCTTAAGGAACCATTGGTTGTCTATTTAGGGCAGCATAGCTTTTACTTATTTTAGGAGGCAAACCATTTAGTTAAGGCACAACTTTGCAGCAAAAAACCTCTTTATTAAGCCTGTCATAGCCCTACAGAAGCCTTAAGACAAACTTCTTATTTCCAGGGTCTGCTTGACTTCTACTACCATTTTGACTTTATAACAGACTCTAAATTAACATGATGGTGTTTTTTTCTTCTAATCAATCTGCAAGTTGATCATAAGCCCTGACAAGAACATGTGAACACAATCAATCTTTTACCCACACATCTCAGATCTTCCAGGTCAACACAGCCTGCAAATAGTTTAAGAACTAATAAATTCAGTTTTCCAGCCATACTTTCCACCTCTGACTTGGTGGACTACCTCTGTTATTTTAAGAAGTTTCTATTCACACAATGATTTAGCAATAATAATTTAAACATTAAAAACTCAGAATGAACAACAGCAATTCATACAACTTCTCAGGATGTGTTTGATAACCAATAATGTCTATAAGCAGAACAGGTTGCTAATCTAAGAATATTTCAAGGCATCAGTAACTTTTTATTAACAAATTTCCTATATAAAATTCTTTCAGCAACCACAGGAAGTACAAACCGCTATTTTCATCCAACTGGCTATCTTACACCAGACTCACCGAATTCAATGGCACTCAACTTAGTCTGGGCCTAGTCACAACTTCCTTAACATTCTTAAGAAAAATGACCTACAAATAGTTCTAGTATCAAAAGATACCCAGTGATTTACACAGGAAAAGTTCAGAAACAGCTGAAAGGTTTTATTAATAAAGATGTACTAGGCACACAGTTCCCCCAGCCAGGAAGTTTAGTCAGGCTTGTTGAAGGGGATTTCCTTCCTACACCTTCCTCCCCATCTCCTTTCTCTCTTCCCAATTTCCCTTCCTAAGAACAGAAATTCAAAAGAAATCTAGTATATAATACATAAATTTTAGTCCCTTTCCAGAATAACAAAGTATTTAATTATTTTTATTGCTGTTCAGTTCAGAGGAAAACACTAAAAATAAGTTTGAAAGCTGGAATAAATAACAACAGCTTTAGCAGTAAATATAAAATGTCTAAGATAACAGGTCTCAAACCTACCATTGGGTAGTAAGTAATAAAAAGTAGATAACATCTCTTTATGAAGACTTCTTTACTATTGCTTTTTTTTTTTTTTTAATTATTCCAGATAACTAGCTTATACATATAAATACCTAGTCAAATTACTGTTTATGGAATTACAGCATAGTCCTCTAAAAATTGACTACTCTGCTCTTCAAAAATGGCAATAAAACACACGTATGAATATGCAAATACACTAATGTATATTATTTTGTTAAGCAATGGAATTCAATTCCACATGGACCAAGTAAAACTGTATTAATTGCATAATACATATATGCCAAGCAGGCTAAACCCATGCAGAATTGAGTATTTACAACTAATAGATAAAACCAAGTTTAATAATTTGGTTTAAGTAACAAATCTCCCCATTTGAACTAGCCAGTAATCAGTGGCACCAATCAAAAGAATAATTTCTTCATGTTTTCACACATCTTTATTCTATAATTCTTGTTCTTCTAAACAATTAAAACAACCAAGTAACAGCCAGATCCCAAAGGCTGCAGACACAGATTCTCTGTAATAACCAGCATTTTTGGCATGTTTTATCTGTTATTTTGTAATTTTTATTCTAATTAGTATGCAGTCCCTGATCAACATGATATTCAAACAACTTTGGTATATTTTTCAAGTGCTCTAGTGGTAATCTTGAGAGAGATTCAGCCCTAATAAATTTTGTTTTGCTGAGCAAGGGGGTGCAATTTTTTTTTTTCTGCCTAGTGTTTTTGGTTACCACACACAGGTTGATTTCCAGTTTTTTTTACACAGATTGAGATTTCCATTTCATTGCTGTATTGTGTTACTGCAACCAAATCTTGCTCAAGGGCTTTGTAAACCTGAGGCCCAGGAAACAACTTATAAACTACAAGACTTAAGCATTGGAATGTCTGCAATTACTCAGTTCAAAAATATTTCCCTGAAACACATCCATGACTGAAGAAAATATACACAAGTTAATTCTGGTTATAAATACATTGCTATAACCTTACTGTCACGAACATGAACATATCA